ACCATACACCACCAGCAAGTGATTGACCAAACTACACCAGCAGCATCACTTGATTGACCATACACCAGCAGCATCACTTGATTGACCATACACCACCAGCATCACTTGATTGACCATAAACCACCAGCATCCCTCGATTGAGCAAACAATATCAGCATCACATGATTAACCATACACCACCAGCAAGTGATTGACCATACACTACAGGCATCACTTGATTGACCATACAGCACCACTAACCTGATCACATGATGAATGTTCCAGTACCAGAACAGTCAAATTGAGCAAGGCTCTAAGATTCCCACTACCTACAACTAATTCATGGGAGTCTGATGTTGTTAGAAGTGATTGTCATTAAGATCTGGGCAGATATCCCCTCCCTCCTTGATGAATTCACAGCCAAGCATTTCTTAAATGATTCAGCAAACCAAATTCATCTTTATATGTTTTCAGTTTAAATACTGAGTGATCATTCATGGGTTTTCATTATGATATTTGTCATGATGAAATAATTGAAGATCATTTAAAGCTAAGCTTTTTTAAAAATTCCAACACGATTCTGCAACAGTGAACATAATTTTATTCAATAAACTCTATTTCTGTGTCTGTGTTGTTTACATTTCTATGATTTTATTGCTGGGACAGATGCTTTTTGATTGAAGTTGGAATGCAAGGGCTCTCTATGTGAAAACAGTGTTGTGTACAGCAGGGACAGGTCAGAGCTTGTTTACTTGTATTTCGTTGGTGTGTATCCTTCATTGATGGAGATCCTTCAGGGAATATGAGAAATAAGTCAGGGTGATTACCACTACATGCAGAAGAGACTCCAAGGAACTGACACTTGGCATGTTCAGATGAAGTTTTGAGAATGTTCAAGAATTTTGTTTTATGTCTTATAGAAATGAATTTGATGTTTTATTAGATAAGACAAATTTGATGTTTGGGAATATTCAATGTTTTTTCAGTATAAACTTGTCTTGATACAGATGAAAGTGGTGTCCCACTTGTCTTGATGAAAGATGGTGTCCCACTTGTCTTGATACTGATGAAATACAGATGAAAGTGGAGCTCCACTTGTCTCGATACAGATGAAATACAGATGAAAGTGGAGCTCCACTTGTCTTGATACAGATGAATTACAGATGAAAGTGGAGCTCCACTTGTCTTACAGATGAAATACAGATGAAAGTGGAGCTCACTTGATTGATAAGATGAAATACAGATTGGAGCTCCACTTGTCTCGACAGATGAAATACAGATGAAAGTGGTGTCCCACTTGTCTTGATACAGATGAAATACAGATGAAAGTGGAGCTCCACTTGTCTTGATACAGATGATATGAAAGTGGAGATTGTCTCGAAATACAGATGAAAGTGGAGCTCCACTTGTCTTGATACAGATAAATACAGATGAATTACAGATGAAAGTGGAGCTCCACTTGTCTTGTCTTGATACAGATGAAATACAGATGAAAGTGGAGCTCCACTTGTCTCGATACAGATGAAATACAGATGAAAGTGGAGCTCCACTTGTCTCGATACAGATGAAATACAGATGAAAGTGGTGTCCCACTTGTCTTGATACAGATGAAATACAGATGAAAGTGGTGTCCCACTTGTCTTGATACAGATGAAATACAGATGAAAGTGGAGCTCCACTTGTCTCGATACAGATGAAATACAGATGAAAGTGGAGCTCCACTTGTCTTGATACAGATGAAATACAGATGAAAGTGGAGCTCCACTTGTCTTGATACAGATGAAATACAGATGAAAGTGGATCTCCACTTGTCTTGATACAGATGAAATACAGATGAAATGGAGACTGAAAGATGGTGTCCCACTGGTCTTGATACAGATGAAATACAGATGAAAGTGGAGCTCCACTTGTCTTGATACAGATGAAAGTGGAGCTCCACTTGTCTTAATACAGATGAAAGTGGAGCTCCACTTGTCTTGATACAGATGAAATACAGATGAAAGTGGAGCTCCACTTGTCTTGATACAGATGAAATACAGATGAAAGTGGAGCTCCACTTGTCTTGATACAGATGAAATACAGATGAAAGTGGTGTCCCACTTGTCTTGATACAGATGAAATACAGATGAAAGTGGAGCTCCACTTGTCTTGATACAGATGAAATACAGATGAAAGTGGAGCTCCACTTGTCTTGATACAGATATGACATGAAACAGATGAAAGTGGAGCTCCACTTGTCTTGATACAGATGAAAGTGGTGGAGCTCCACTTGTCTTGATACAGATGAATTACAGATGAAAGTGGAGCTCCACTTGTCTTGATACAGATGAAATACAGATGAAAGTGTTGTTCCACTAGTTTTGATACAGCTGAAATATGGATGAAAGTTGTGTTCAGGTTTTACAAAAGGCGTAAGAAATGATTTTCCTAAACATATGAGAAGAATAATATGACTTCTTAAGTGGTAGTATTTGTAGAACAAGACATTTCCTGAACATGTGATTCTTCCATTTCTCACAAACAACAACGTTTGTTTGTATGGCATACATTTGCTTGTTTTGTGATTTGTTTCCATTATTTATGGTGCTGTTAAACTGTAAACTCTTCCAAATTTTGTTTGTGGAAATTGTTGATGGTTGGTTGTGTTTGGAATTGGTGGTTTGGAAAAATAGCAGCAGAGTTTCTCTTTGAAGTCTTCTTTGAGGTTTCTGTTGATAGTATACATTATCCTTGTTGTTGTTTTGTGCTTGCTTGAGCGTGATTGATAAACAGCAGGTGAGGTTGTTGCTCGGATGAAGGACACTGTATGATGTCATCAGCTCTTTCTTCGGCCATTGATCGGCAGCTTCTTCTTCAGATAAATCATTTGTAGTGCCAAACAGGACATTTTGGGGACATAGTGAATGTTTTCTGTCAGAAAATAAAGTTATATTTGTCCTTGTCTGACCTATGGAAAACAGAGGCTTGTTTTATCGCCTTCACATAGCGGGGCTTCAATATTGCTTTTCTGAAACCATTGCATGTGGTCTTTTGAAGGCTTTTGAAGTATCATGACTCGGGAAGAACATGTTCTTTCAAGGTATTTATGAATGTCCACCATGATAACCACAAGAAATGCGTAAAATGTGATGAATATTCTGTGAGTAAGTTTAGTTGTGATGTTGCACAGCTGTGAACAGTACTTCAGTCACATCACTGAGTGTCAGCTATTTGCTGCTTTGGTATGGAGCTGAACAAATCTGTGAACAGAATCAGGGGGATATTCAAAGAATCACTCCTAAAATATTAGATCACCTGGATATTATCATGAATCAAGATTTTAGCAACAGAGATTGAACACAATCTTATCTTGGTTGGAATCAATTATTACTTTATCATTCATGACACTTACATTTCAACAACAGTATACTTTATATTATTACATGAACCATTGTAAGATCATTACATATGACCTCAACAATGATACACTGTAATGACATGAACCATTGTTACATCATTACATATGACGTCAACAATGATACACTGTAATGACATGAACCATTGTTACATCATTACATATGACCTCAACAATGATACAGTTGTTACATAATGACATGGTGTAATGACGGCTGATTTGTTACATCATTACATATGACGATCAACAATGATACATGACTGTAATGACATGAACCATTGTGACATCATTACATATGACCTCAACAATGATACAGTGTAATGACATGAACCATTGTGACATCATTACATATGACCTCAACAATGATACACTGTAATGACATGAACCATTGTGACATCATTACATATGACCTCAACAATGATACACTGTAATGACATGAACCATTGTGACATCATTACATATGACCTCAACAATGATACACTGTAATGACATGAACCATTGTTACATCATTACATATGACCTCAACAATGATACACTGTAATGACATGGACCATTGTTACATCATTACATATGACCTCAACAATGATACACTGTAATGACATGAACCATTGTTACATCATTACATATGACCTCAACAATGATGTACTGTAATGACATGAACCATTGTGACATCATTACATATGACCTCAACAATGATACACTGTAATGACATGAACCATTGTGACATCATTACATATGACGTCAACAATGATACATGTATGACATGACCATTGTTATTGTCATTACATATGACCGTCACAATGATACACTCAAATGCATGATGATTGTTACATCATTAATGACATGAACCATTGTAATGACACATCATTACATATGACCTCAACAATGATACACTGTAATGACATGAACCATTGTGACATCATTACATATGACCTCAACAATGATACACTGTAATGACATGAACCATTGTGACATCATTACATATGACCTCAACAATGATACACTGTAATGACATGAACCATTGTGACATCATTACATATGACCTCAACAATGATACATATGACCTCAACAACAATGATTGTTACATTACATATGTGTAATGACAATGACATGAACCATTGAACCATTGTGACATCATTACATATGACCTCAACAATGATACACTGTAATGACATGGACCATTGTGACATCATTACATATGACCTCAACAATGATACACTGTAATGACATGAACCATTGTTACATCATTACATATGACCTCAACAATGATACACTGTAATGACATGAACCATTGTTACATCATTGACCTCACATATGACATGAGCCATTGTTACATCATTACATATGACCTCAACAATGATACAGTGTAATGACATGGACCATTGTTACATGATTACATATGACCTCAACAATGATATACTATAATGACATGAACCATTGTTACCTTACACATGAATATTCAAATTACATTTACAGTGTTTTAGGATGTGTTGTATCTTGGACGGACTTACATTAACGTCTTTATCTGTGACTTGATTGTCTTGATTAATTGATCTTTAACCAATTGAAGCTGGACTTAAGTTACTTGATAGTGATTTGATACAGATTGATTGTGTTTTGTTTTCAGAAGGTGAAATTGAAAGGCTACCCAGCTGTAGTTGTTTTTAAAGATGGGACTTACTATGAATATGAAGGTATGTTCCTCTCACTTCAGTTTGTTTTGTATATTATGTTCACCTTTAGTCTTTGAATATGTAGAACTAAGAAACATTGGCAGAAAGGGACATTCCTTTCCTTTTGTCAGTATCTTTTAATCAGAGCAAAACTCCATTCAGAAATAGTTTTAGTGCTGCTAAGACATAAGAATTGGTTTTGGGTAATGCAATATATTTTCATTCCTGCATCGATGATGTCTGTCTGTCTTGAGAGAAGGACATGTTTTATTACATATGCTTCAGCTTTTACCTACAACAACACAAATTGCAGTGCAGTGTTATCTCCCTTGGGCATGTCAGGAACCTGTGAATCAATTCATCATGCTTTATTCTCTTCCACAGTAATAACTTAGTTGATCAAGGGAAGAGTTTGTCATTGCCATGATAAGTAGACTGAGTTTGAATCTGTATATTGACCAGATGAGGATGGTGTTGTCCGGAAGAGCTCGCTGGACAGATGGGTGAATCGGGAACGTTTCCCAGCATTCCCCCTGTTGCAGGCGGTGGCCTGAATGAGATGGCGGACTCTGGCAAGTTGATGGCCATCGCTGTGGTCAACCTTGAGGAAGAAGAGTTCAAACAGGAAAACAATAGGTGAGTCTTTCTCATAATCTCACATATTTCACCCCCATCATAGTGAACAGCAGGTGACTGCTGGGCAATATCTCACACATGCTTCTTTTCAGTCTCCTCTTGAAAAAGGGGTGAATACTGGGCAATATCTCACACACGCTTCTTTTCAGTCCCTTGTGAACAAAAGGTGAATACTGGGCAATATCTCACACACATCTCATCTCAGTCTTCTCTTGAGAAAGGGGTGAATACTGGGCAATATCTCACACATGCTTCTTTTCAGTCCCTTGTGAACAAAAGGTGAATACTGGGCAATATCTCACACACATCTCATCTCAGTCTTCTCTTGAGAAAGGGGTGAATACTGGGCAATATCTCACACACATCTCATCTCAGTCTTCTCTTGAGAAAGGGGTGAATACTGGGCAATATCTCACACACATCTCATCTCAGTCTTCTCTTGAAAAAGGGGTGAATACTGGGCAATATCTCACACACGCTTCTTTTCAATCCCTTGTGAACAAAAGGTGAATACTGGGCAATATCTCACGCACATCTCATCTCAGTCTCCTCTTGAGAAAGGGGTGAATATTGGGCAATATCTCACACATGCTTCTTTTCAGTCCCTTGTGAACAAAGGTGAATACTGGGCAATATCTCACACATGCTTCTTTTCAGTCCCTTGTGAACAAAAGGTGAATACTGGGCAATATCTCACACACGCTTCTTCTTGAAAAGGGGTGAATATCTCACACACGCTTCTTTCAGTCCCTTGTGAACAAAAGATGAATGTAAGGCAGTATCTCATACACGTTCAGTGCATCTAAATGCTTGGTGTTGGACATCAGGAGATCATCAGAGATCAGATGGGATTTCAGAGCGATGTTTCGATGTCTTTGTGGGTGAGACTCTGCTGATATGGAGCTATAATCCAAGGGAGATTCCTGTCAGTTAGTTCCCTGGTCCACCCACCACACTGTTTCATACAGCTATAAACCAGACTCACTGACTCAGGCAGTTATTGTTTTTGTCTTTTATGCATTTTGACAGCGAGATGTCATCATGACTATGTGATACCTCGTGAGAGGTCACGCTATTTTTGTGTCAGAAAGTGTGGGCAATTTGCTCTGATCCAAGGTTCTTGATGGTTTTGTCAGAATGGTAAACAATCACTATGTACACTACTTTGGCCCTTATGCCCAGAACAAATGACACTGAACTCAACTCTCTCTCTCGTTCCTTCCACTCAGTCTATCGTCTCCTCTCGCTCCCTCACGCACTCCTCCACCCACTCACTCTCACTCACTCACTCGCTCACTCACTCCACACACTCACTCACTCACTCACTCCTCCTCACCACTCACTCACTCACTCACTCACTCACTCACTCTCCTCACTCACTCCTCTCACTCACTCACTCACTCACTCACTCACTCACTCACTCACTCACTCACTCACTCACTCACTCACTCACTCACTCACTCACTCACTCACTCACTCACTCACTCACTCACTCACTCACTCACTCACTCACTTACCCACCCACTCACAGTGATAGTTACAACGTGACACTTACCAGGAGATCCTTATCGCCTCTCAGAGAGGCATGTCACGTAGACTCAACATTGCTGTTGGCCTCATCAGCAACGGTATAGCTATTCATGGTGAGACATTTCAAAAACTGCTGTGGCACAAGAAAAATAGTCCGTAAAGCGTGATGTTAAATATCCTACATAAGTCTGATGCCTCGCACTTAAGTGGTGTGAAATTATATGCACAAGAGCAATTAACCACATGGATAGGGTGACGCCTGTAGATTACTCCAAAGAGTTTGACGTCATTGCTGGTTGTGAAATACTCCCATATGTGTCTTACCACACAACAAATGATCAGTTTTGTAGAACTTTCTGAGCATGCTTCTGTTCGGGATTGTTTCCTTCTGCCATGTTGCTTACACCATGCTTTTCCTTCATAACATTTTTGGTTGATGTTTAACATTGCACTCAGCAATATTCAGCAGTTTGTGAATAATTAAATCTGGACCAGACAATCAAGTGGTAAACATCATTAGTGTCGATCCACTCGTTTGGGATACGATGACATGTGTCAACCATGTCAGCGAGCCGGACCACCTCGTCCCGTTAGTCGCCTCGATGACATGTGTCAACCATGTCAGCGAGCCGGACCACCTCGTCCCGTTAGTCGCCTCTTACGACAAGCATGGGTTGCTGAAGGTCAATATTCTAACCTTGATCTTGAAGTTATCTTCAACAGATACAGTCTTAGCCATAACAGATACTATCTCATTCAATTCAGATCCCTAAGGAATCTTTCATAACACATACAGTCTTATTCATTTGAGATACTGTCTCATTCAATTTGGATCTTAGTACCTGCTACGTCTGAACAAAAATCTCATGTCATCCCATTGCTGGTCAGGTAGAGCATGGCAGCTGGAATGTGTTTTCTAATCATTAGGCCTACCATATAAACGGTGAACAAATCCTCAGAACTGAACTCAAAACAAAACTTTACAAAACTGAAGAGTGAGTGAGTGAGTGAGTGATTGAGTTTAGTTTTACGCCGTGTTTAGCAATATTCCAGCAATATCACGCCGGGGGACACCAGAAATGGGCTTCACACATTGCGCCCATGTGGGGAGCAAAACGGAAGAGAAACAGTAGCACAACATGTTGACAACAAAGTACAAACCCTCTTTGGTCGAACTAGGGACTGCATTGTGCAGATTCGCAAGCCTAACACTTGAGAAGTATGAACATAGGTTTGAAGGTTACTACAATAGGGGGTTGATGCGCTACATCCCGATACCAAATTTTCAAGATTAGACTCATAGTGACGAAAAACATTATTTACCAAAGCCTGTTCGTCTCCTTGCGCTGCCATCTTTGACAAGTTTTATGCCGTTTCGGGATGCTATGACTGCCGTTTTGGGATTCTATGACTGCCGTTTTGTATGCTATGAATGTAGTTCAGAACACCAGAATTGTACAGATGACCCAAGTGTGGATCAGGTGAACCACATTTGGATGGGTGAATCGATCATGTCTGATGAGGCTCCATAGGCTCCCTGACTTCACGCTCAATCTGGGTCAGTGGGGTAGCCTTGTGGTTAAACCATTCGCTTGTTTTGATGAAAGACCTGTGTTCAATTCCACATGGGTATAATGTTTTAGGCCCATTTCTAGTGTTCCCTGCTGTGATGTTGCTGGAATATTGCTAAAAGCAACATAAAACCTCACTCACTCACTCACTCACTTTCACACACTCACTCACTTTCAACCGCTTCTGACTCACTCACTCGCTCACTCACTTTCACACACTCACTCACTCACTCACTTTCACACACTCACTTTCCACCGCCTCTGCGGTGTAGTGGTTAAAGCGTCTGCCCAGAGAGCGGAAGGTCAAGGGTTCGATCCCTAGCTGCGTCATATCAAAAGATGTTAAAATGTGGTACTTGTTGGTCCCTGCCAGGCTCTCGGTATTAATGGGTACAACAAGAAATGGTTGGCTCAGAGTCTCAGTGAGCTAGCACCATAAAACCAACTTACGTCTGGGCTAGTACAAGCAGCCAGACATACACACGCATGCATGTCGTCATATGAGTGAAATATTCACCCATTTCACCTCACCCACGTTCAGTCTTGATGCAGCTTCCCACATCATGTAAGATACCAGTTAATCATGTTCCAATCAGAAGAAACTGTCAGCATGTGCAAAATAATTTAAAGCCAAAATGATTCCAAACAGAACTGCCAAGAAACCGCAATAAATGAGAGAGAAAACATCAATATTCTTCACTGGTTAATAAATGTACCGAAATATTACCTATGTTTTATCAGGGATAAAAAGGTTGGGATTATTGTCAGTGCACCGTAATAGTTTTTATCATAAATACCTTGCAAACATATAATCTCGACCAACTGTATGTTGATTTTGTTACTTCTCTAACATGGTTGAACCGTATAGATCGAGGGAGCCTATTTGAAGTTAGTGATTGAGTATTGATATCCATACACCGCATCTCTGTCATCACATGGCTGATTTAACTTAACGGGATGCAGATATGAGAAATCTGTTTTGTTTCCTATGCACTGTGACTTTGCAAGTAACCATTAAATTAAAATTGGTTATCTTCCAAGCTCCCATGTGCTGCGCGTAATGCACATTAGATGCACACATGTTGCAACTCGGTGTATGCATCAGATCATCGTAGTTTTGATTATCGTCATGACCGTACGACCATGCCAGACAGGCCATGCTAACATGGTGTATCTTACCCGCGAGTTTTTGTGTATCAACCTCTGAAATTGACCACAAACATCTGAGATGGACTGCTGTTCCTTGTCCGGTCATAATGTGTCATTAATTTAAAGTTGGTTGGTTTGTGTTGTGTAACGCCGCTCAGCAAGCTATATGTAAATAATCGAGTCTAGACCAGACAATCCAGTGATCAACAGCATGAGCATTGATCTATGCAATTGGGATACGATGACATGTGTCAACCAAGTCAGTGAGTCTGACCACACGATCCCGTTAGTCGCTTCTTATGATAAGCATGGGTTGCTGAAGACCAATTCTAACCTGGATCTTCACAGGGGCTTTAGCTTTAAGGGTTTTTATCCTGAACATTTGGATGTATTTTTTATGTATAGCTTATATACTGGTATAAAATTTGCTTGGTTTGGGCTAAGCTTTGCATTATATTTATGGGTTCATATCAGTTACGTTGGCTGTTAACTATTGCAGCGAGTGACTGATGACTGATTTATTTTCACGTTTGATGTTTCCTTCCACTTGAAGTAAACTTTCTCAAGCATTACCAAAAAGAATAAATTCTGAACTGGACATGGAGGGCCTGAATAAAAAATTATTGTATGAAAAAATCATATTTTTTGTTTCTCAGAAGAATGTTTATTGATATCTTAAAGCAGTTGCTGTACAAAATTCCTTTCCCCCTCCTACGCTACACAAAAACCTTGTGCACATACACATTCATC